TATGCCAAGAAAGAGAAAGGCGCCATGTGCGGCACCACTGGGCGAAAGCCTGTAGATCGCTCTTTAGGAGCTCAAGCACGATGTCATTATCTGCCGGCCTATATCGATATGCAACTTTAAGATCATCGGCATACATGAAAGGTTTACCATTCTGAAATAAATCGGGTACATCATTAACGAAAAGGCAAAATAAAAGCGGGCCGAGAACACTACCCTGAATGACTCCACTCCTCACACGTGTTGGGTTGGAGATAGTATTGGAAATCTTAACTCGTTGTGTGCGAGTGCCCAAATAAGAAGATATAAAATTCGAAAGTGTGCCACCTATTCCGAAAGAAGACAATTTCAAGAGGAGAAGAGCATGGTCAACACTGTCAAAAGCCTTAGTGAAATCGAAATATACAGTGTAAAGTGCAAAACCATTGTCCCTACATTGGAGAACATAATCAAAGTAAGAGAGTTGACAGGTGTCACAAGATCGAGCTTTGAGAAATCCATGCTAAGCAGCACTAAGTTATTCACTGTTAAGTGACACATCATCTTCTCTTTGATCAATGTCTCTAAGATCTTCGAAACTGCGGGGAGGGTGTTTATTGGCCGAAAGTCATCAAATGATGTAGACTTGCCGTGCATAGGAATGGGCAAAATGTGTGATTCCTTCCACAAGGTAGGATAAATTTCACTTTCAAGAGCAAGATTAAATATCTTGCATAAGAGGGATGGGACGATAGAGTTTGCATCGGCTTTTAAAATGCTTACTGGGACACCATCAGGGCCTGGACTATAAGATTGACGAAAACGCCGAATCGCAACAGTCACATCCCACAGAGTGAAAGTTATAGTTTCTAGAACTGCCCCAGTCAATGACTGGATGGTCGGAAGTGGAGTGGTCGAGTCTTCAATGAACGTTTTGGACAGAAAATCATTGAAGCTATCAGCGGTTAACTGGGCATCAACTATGGGATTTCCGAGATCGTCTCGAAGGATGGGATACTGCGTCTTTCTCTTAGTTCGTATTTTTCTAGAGAAAAGTTTCGAGACATTTAAGAATGGTTTTCGGTAAACTGGACCTCTTCGGCTAGCTGTTTTTCTTCAGACAATCTCTTAGCTCGATCAAAATATCACAAATCAAGGGCAGAACAGAAATATCGTTCTGCAGATGGAAACGACGATAAAGCCTGCGCAATCTGCGACGGAATGGGTAAGGGTAGGAAAATCTCATCCCAACATTAATAATTTTCTTACGGGGGACAAAACGAGAAATAAGCGGATCCAAAATTTCGTACAGATTTGCAGTGCAAACATTTACATCCGGACTAAGAAAGAACTCAGTCCAGTCGTAGTAATTATGTCCAGATTCTTCTTAAAATTTTGTATAGATGGTGACATCACAACATCTGCGGGAAGCTCATTCCACGGTTTGACCACCCGAACCGAGAAGGAGAACTTACACACACCCAGCCGTGCCTGCTGAGTGCGCAGTTTTAACGGGTGACCTCGGAGGTTGGTCGTGGTAGCAAATTCAAAAAAGTCCTCGAAGGCCAGACTGCAATCCAACCCCTTTACAATGCGGAAGGCTTGCAAGAGATCTCCGCGAAGTTGCCTGTAACTCAAAGGAAAGAGGTTCAGATTTACTAGGCGGGTCGCATAAGGAAAGGAGCTTTGACCCCTGACCATCTTCGTGGCTCTCCTCTGGACTCTTTCGAGGCAGTTTTGATCCACAACAGCCCACAGCCTCCAAGCTTGTATGCCGTACTCTAAATGCGGCCGGACGAATGTTCCGAATGTCTTAGAGAAAGCTTTTTCGTCAAAGTCCATAAACGCACGCTTGTTGCGTACAGTACGGACATTGCGGTTTTTGCCACCCTCGAACAGTGGGCGGATGGTTATAGGGAACTCGTCGTAAGCACACCGAGGTCCATGTGGGCTTCGACCTCTTGTAGGGCTGCACCGCCCAGAAAGTAGCCTCTTGTGCTGGCGGATCTGGCTGTGTTGCCTAGGCGAAGTATGCTACATTTGGCAACGTTGAACCGCAGGAGCCAACGGTTTGACCACTCCTCCAACCGATTCAGGTTCATCTGCAGTCTGTCTTCATCGGCAGGACCCCGAATTACACTCCACATCTTCGTGTCATCCGCAAACATTGCTACTTCACAGTCTAAATCTCTTGCGGCATCGTCCACGTAGATAAGGAACAAAATGGGTCCCAGTACTGAACCCTGGGGGACACCGCTATCGACCATAGCCGGATCTGATTTTCCCCGACCGACGCACACAACCTGCTGTCGACCCACAAGGAATTTTTCGATCCATTTATGGAAGTTGCCACCGATCCCTATTTTTTTCAGCTTATGTAAGAGCCTTTGGTGTGGCACAGTGTCGAAAGCCTTCTGAAAGTCGATGAAGGCTATGTGGACCGAGTGCCTGTCGTCGAGAGCTCGTGTCCAGCTCTGGAGAGATTGCAGCAGGTTTGTCGTGCAGGATCTTCCTTTTCGGAACCCATGTTGGCATTTCTATAGCAGGCCGTGAACTTCCAGGAATTGCATCAGTTCACTCTTTATGATCCTTTCCATAACTTTGCAGAGAATGCATGTCAAGCTTATGGGCCGGTAATTTGTCGTCGCTGCCCTGTTACCTCCTTTGCGTAGCGGAGTAATATGCGCCAGCTTCCAATCGATAGGAAGTGTTCCAGTGTCAAATGACGTTTGAAAGAGCATCGACAAAGGCACAGAAAGCTCACGGGCAAGTTCCTTCAGAAGCTTGGATGGAATCTCGTCTGGTCCTGCGACTTCGATTCGTTCAATGCCTCTAATTCTCTTCGGACAATGCCTTCTGAGAAGAGTATATCACTGACGCTTGGAGTCGGCAGTTCTTCTGTGGAGAGAGGAAGGAACCTTGCCTCGTTTGTGTAGACTGATTGGAAAAACCGTGAAAAATACGCAGCTTTATCCCTACTATCAGCGATCTCAACGCCATCGGTAGTCTTTATCAAGGGGATTTGATGCCTGTTCCTTGTAGTTCGTCGGAGGTAGCTGTAGAGCAATTTTGGGTTCTGCGTTGCTTTTTGTAGCAAGTTCTTCTCGAATTCCCGCCGCGTCTGCATTATCAGCTTCCTCAGTTTGTTCCCCTGTGTCTTGTAGGTGTTGAAGCATTCAGCTTGTCTAGTGACGCAGTATTTTCTCCACAATTTGTGCTTCCTGTTGATTTCTTTCTTTAGGTTGCTATTTAGCCACCCAGGGCGTTTGTTCAGTCTTACACTAGTCGGTGGGCAGTGGTTGTTGATGAGCTGCAGAAGGACATTCTTGAACAGCTCCCAGTCATCGTTGGCACTTCCCGTAAACAAAGAGCCCCAGTCAAGACCGGATAAGTCTGCCCTCATCTGATTGAAGTCGCTCTGCCAAACATTACGCCTTTTGTGGTCTGGAGTGTATGAAATGGAGAATAACGAATAATCCCACATAAGCACTACGTGGTCACTTCGGCCAAGGGGCGGCATGGAGGTGATCTCGTCTATGCTGTCTGGTGTTTTCGTAAAGACCAGATCCAGGCAGTTTGCCCTTTGTCCTTCACGTGTTCTCGTTGGGAACATTACATGTTGTGTGAGGCACGCATTTAATGTCTTGCTCAACAGGCGGTAATCGAATGCCGATTTTGGACCTGACGCTTGGAGGGTATTCCAGTTTGTTCCTGGTGCGTTGAAGTCGCCCATGATCATGATGTTAGGTCGACTGGAAAATTTCTCCATCTGCTACAATAGTTGAGTGTCGGCGATTCGGTCTGTCCTAGGTGGTCGGTAGACAGTAAGGACATCGAGACACGGGGAACCGGTAGCCTTGATGGTCAACCAGATAGCTTCCGTACTGCACGCAAACTTGGTGGTGTGATCCGACACTGCCAGACCTTCATTCACATACACAACGATACCACCACCCTGACGATGTTCCCTGTCCCTCCGATAAATTTGGTATCCAGGCAAGGCTACTTCGTTATCACTAATATTCCCGGACAGCCAGGTCTCAGTTACTGCTAAAACATCTGGAGACAGCTCAACAAGGCAAAGTTTTAGTTCGTCTAGTTTCGATATGAGGCTTTGGGCATTCGTGTACAAGCACCTCAGTTTAGCACCAGCCGAATTTCCCGTTGCATTTGTTACTGCTGTGAGCATTACTCCGTTATCGCGGACGTCGTGTTCTCTAGGCTCTTCCGTTACCTGATTGGTTCCATTTACATGCCTTGTTTCAGTCAGATCACTGGACGCTACGGGCTCACTTGTGTTGGCGCCTTGATCAGGTGGTTCAACGAAGGTGTCTGTTTTAGCTGAGTAGCTGTCGTCGTTCGTAGTATTACAGGCTGGTTCCACTGAAACGGCATATATTTCCGAACTACCTTCCCCTTGAAGATAGCCAGATTGTGTTCGCCATCCTTCAGTCTTGATTTTAACTCCAAGACAAGTTCCCGGCGTTTCAACTGTTCCGCTAGTGAATAGTCCGATTGAAAAAAAACCTGTTTGTGTGTGTTTCTGAGATCGGTTTTTATTGAGTGGATAAACCTGATTTGCTCTTTGTTCTCCAGCATAATTTTGAGAGGGTGAGGTGGTTGTGCTACTGTCCTGTCTTCACTCCTTTTTCCTATCCGGAATGCTTTCAGAACCTTTATTTCCATGTCTGCCGGCAGTAAATGATTTAGCAGACAATGAAAAGAAGCAAGGTCCTCTGAGACACGGTCTTCAGGTCTGACTGCATTTGATTCTGACAAACCCTGAATAACCAGACACTGCTGGCGAGCATGGTCCTCTTTACTCTGTCTTTCCGGTGAATGCGCTGCATGTGGGCGAGGACGATTTACGGAGTCATCGCTTGGACGCACACTTTTACTGTCTACCGACTGTTCCGAGCAACCCATCAGGGCTGGCTGGGACTTCAGAATCCTGTCATGGCGTTTCCCTCTCCCCTCTACCCACTGGTTTATGACTTCACATTCAGATACGTGCTCTGTAGTGCGCTCGGGGTGGTTGTCAGAACAAGAGGGCAACAGTAGACTGGATGACCCAGGTATATCGTCTCCAGGCAGAACAGAAATCCCATCACTTACAGCAAGAGGCTTAGGTGAGATGGATTCCGCGATAGGTAATTTTTTTGCGACATCGCTTAAGACATCGCTTTAAGACATCATATCCACCCACGACGTAACAGTCACCGTGAGGTCTTCTTATTTCTGCCTGTGGCACGTACTGTTAAATATCGTCGGTTCTTTTCTGTAAATGCAATTGCTATTTAGAATAAACTACCCATGAGTGTGAAAACTGTGCAAAATTATCCTTTATTTAAGAGAACTATTAATCGATTTTTACATTCAGAAAAGCTCCCACAAATTTTAGGTGCGGAATCCACTGATCGACTGTACCGTAGCGATGGCGTTTGTGGTCTCTGATCACTATAGCCGGTCTCAATAGCTGTTCCTAAACGCCTCTACTTTGACTATCCCCAACTTCATGAAAGGAATTGACGTCCGATAATCTCCGATACCGTGCAAACCCCTCCCCCCTTCTTGACGGTCGAAAATCTACCGCCAGCAGTTTTTTTCTCCTGAGCCCTCCAAACCATAAAAACCACCATCAACTATATTTTTTATCCCTTTCGCTCAGGAGTTTTTTTCACTGCTGGTCGGATTTGTGTTTAATCACTTCCCTTGACAATGCCTGTAAACTGGCATTAAATAAAAAATTTATTATTAAAATATGCGACAAAAGGGTAAGGGTAGGAAAATCTCATCCCAACATTAATAATTTTCTTACGGGGGACAAAACGAGAAATAAGCGGATCCAAAATTTCGTACAGATTTGCAGTGCAAACATTTACATCCGAACTAAGGAAGAACTCAGTCCAGTCGTAGGAATTAAGTGTGTTAATAATTCGGTTGAGCGAGTTGATCGGAAATCGCGGAAAAAGTTATACTTTTGGGACGACATTTCGTCAGCCTCGAATTCCAACGTTGAAACGACTATGTCATGGTCTGAGCCCCCGAGTGGGCCTAGGGATGACACTGACGATGGCAAGCAGCCTCTACAGAAAATGAAGTCAAGTATACTTGAGCCTCGGGTGGGAAAATCGACAACCTGAGTCCACATCCCGACATCCACAGCCTCAAGAAAGTCTTCGAACCTTCTGGGGCCTGAAGGCGGAGACCAGCGGACTTCAGGGAGATTAAAGTCACCCGCAACCAGTTGATACTTAAAGCTTGAGTCGGCCGCAGCATGAAATGTCTGTGAGAGTAAACGATCAAAATTGTCATTGGCGTTGGGAGGGCGATAGACGCAGCCAATGAGTAAGGAGAACTTATTTTTTAGTGCAACCTGGAGCCAGCAGCTGCCTTCTACTGTGAAAAAGTGCGGGAGGTCCAACGGCAAAAATGTAAGTGTTTGCTTAACGTAGACGCAGCTGACCCCACCACGGCTATCTTGGCGATCATTTCGAATGCAATTGTAGCCTAGAAGAGAGAGTTCGGAGTCAGCTACTGAGGCTGATGCCCACGTCTCAGTTACTAAAACAATATCAGGAAAATGGACGAAAACCTGAGTCTGAAGCAAAGGCATCTTATTAAGCAAGGATCTGGCATTTAAAACAAAAAGTTTGAAGGGAAAGGCTGTTAGTTTTTGAGGGAGGTGGGCTACATCGTCCAGTTCAGGGTCGCCCACGGAGCAAACGGTCCGGATGCAACCATCCGGTTCTGCAAAAAATTTTGTGGCATCGAAAACTTCTGACGTGGATAAAAAGGGGTAGGACTTGGGGAGGGGAATGACGGGCAGGTGAACTGGTAACCATTGTTAGCTAACTTATTTTCAGCTGGAAATCCGCGGGGCAGATACTGCAACGTATTCCTGCCGGAACGAAACTGAGAATCGGATGAATTAACTGATTCAGTATGGACATTATCATGAGGAATAAATTGGTAAAACGGCCGTGGAGGAAACAAGTTAGGGGGTGGGGGACGCATTGTTTCCATTGGAGCAAGAGTTTTATTAAACGGCGGAAAATCGGCATATTCGGCCTAACTGCCTCGATATGACGGCTAGGGGGCAGTTGCGAACCCGCTACGTTTTGAGTCGGGGTACTTGAGGCACTGTTAGCCGATTGTGGAGGAGAAGATTTTATAATGGTGCTGGATTTATTTGGTGTCCGAATGGCTGAGACAGCAATTGGATTTGCCTTTGAATTAGACACATGCTTAGGTTTACTAGGGGTTG